GGACCGCCCTCCTCCCCCAGCCACTGCTGCCCCCAGCCCCTCCTGCTCCCACACCTCCAGATCACTGACTTCCCCACCTACTTCTGACCAGCCCAAGGGCTGAGTGGCTGCCAGCCTCCCCTCCTGCCCCCAGGTGCCTGGTCACTGCTCTCTCCGAGCCACTCCTGACTCCTTCCTTAAGGAAGTGTGAGCCCTGCCTGCTCCTAATCCTGCCATCAAAGCCTGCCCTACCCACTCATTTCTCTCATTCAGTCCCATGTTCCCTTCCTCCCTTCTCCCACTACTGAGTCCCCAAGCTGACAGCAGCGGCCCCTCCCCATTGCTGATGGGAGCATAGGTGGGTATCTGAATTTCCCTCTTTCCTTTCCCTAGGCTCCCCTCAACCACTCTAGAAGGTGACGCACAGGGGCTTGTCCTAGCCCTTAGCTTCCCCCTGGTTGTCTTTAACTGTCCCCACCTAGCGTCTCAGCACCACTGCATTTTGGTCAGGATCCCTTCCTTCGCTTAGCCAGCCACTGGTGTACAAGGTGCTGCAGCAGCTATGCTTCACCCCTGAAGGGTGATATATTGGCATCCCTGAGCAATGGGCAGCAATGGGAGTTGGGGGGAGCATGTCAGTCACAGGTATCACTGACCAGCCTCAGCCCTCGTGTGCGCACATCCTGTTGAAAGACAACACTTGGAGCACACCCAGGCTGCAAAGGCAAGCCCTCAAAGATGTCCACATTGCTCAGGCAGCCTTAACTCTAGCCCTGGAGATACACCCTTGACTTTCCTCCCCCCAGGCAGGTGCTTATGGGTGTATGACAGGAGGCATCAACAAGAGGGCTTCATGCAATGCAAAGATCCCTTCTGCCACTCATTCTAAGAGGAGGGTAAAGTACCCCTAGACTAATACTCATCTCCCTGCCACACCCACCCTGCTACAGGCAGAGTGGGGTGTGTGGCCTGGGTTCACTAGCTGGACTCTACCACCCTTTGTCCTTGCCCAAGGGTCCTGATAAATGACCTGGCCCAGGAGAAACTAAATGGCTGGACCAGATGTATTTAACCAAAATACAGTGCAATGCACAAGGCCAAAAAGAGCAGATTCTTGGGATGGATGACATGTACAAGGTAAGCACTTGTCTATTCCCCACTTGTGTTATAAAGTCTCAGGGCTTCCCATTCAGCTCTCCAGTCCCTAGTCTCTAGCCATCTCTGTCCACAGTACTGGCCTCCTTCCATCCAGAGCCAGCTGTCTCCTCTGGCTCCACCAGCACAATGCTAGGCAAGATCTCACGGCCCACTCCCCACACAGTGTCAGGCATCATGCTCTGCTCAAATCCTGTAAGGAGCAATGCGCAAGGTATACACGCATACGACACCCTTCCCCATCCCTTGGTGGGGTGTTCTGCTAGACAGCTAAGAATCACAG